AGGGGAGAGAGAGAGAGAGAGAGAGAGAGAGAGAGAGAGAGAGAGACATTGAAGTGAGGTAGAAATATTGAACAGAGAAAGATGGTTAGAAAGAGAGAAACATTGATGGCAGGGAACATATTTATCATTTGCCTTCCATATCTGCCAAGACTGGGAATAAAACCCATAACCTTGTCATTTATTTGTATTAATATATATTTTATGGATTTCATGGAGGAAGGGAGATTGAGAGACAGAAAGAAACATCAATGATGAAAGAGAATCATTTATTGGCTGCCTTTTGTATGGTCACTACTGGGCATCAAGCTCAAAACCCAGCTATGTGCCCCTACCAGGAATGGAATCACAGGTAGAAGCTCAACCACTGTGCCACACCTGCATGGCTTGTTTCAGTTTTGAAATATATTTTTAATTAGTTTAGAATTCAACCTTGATAGCTACTCCATTTTTCTTCACCCTTAAAGTCTTCATTTGTTGCAGGAGATTCATGTTCAGGAGACCAGAAGTCCCATGTAACACTGTTTCAGTTACAAAGTGATCAGAGGATAAACTAAGACCAGAGTGTGAGCCTAGAGACAGTGGACCAAGTTTTGGGGAGAGTAGAGTGCCTGTGAGGGTCCCTGGGGACCAAAAGCATGAACTAGAGAGACACAGACGGAGCTCCTGGATCTTATTCCTTCAGGGGAGTTTGCTGCAGGACGTGTAGCAGCGGCAGGGCCTCATTAGTGGTGTTTCTTCTCTAGACTCTGTTGTAGATCCTGTTTCATACATAGTTATATAGAAGAATCTCCATCATGACCAGATGTGTTGAGGGGAAGATGTTGGGAATAATTTAGGAATAATTAAGTTTAGGTTATGAAAATCTTGTTATTGGAGAGCTCATGTCTGCATGTGACCCTTGTGACCTCTGTCCCCCAAATGATGGGAGTCAACTGGAACCTGCACCTGACCCAGTGCAACATTGGGGGGAAGAGCTACATGGGAACATGATGGGGGATTAACCAAGACCGAGAACTCACACATCCAAGGCTCTTGTTTCATTAGGTTGTCATCTCCTTGTTGTGTAGCCAGTTCAAGTTTTCTTCCCTCACTTTCCTCTGAAACAGCCCACATGTTTCCTAAAGCCATGAAGACA